GGTACTTTGGGGCTGGGGTTTGGTACGTTTGGGGCTGGGGTTTGGTACGTTTGGGGCTGGGGTTTGGTACGTTTGGGGGGGGTTTGGTACGTTTGGGGCTGGGGTTTGGTACGTTGGGGCTGGGGTTTGGTACGTTTGGGGCTGGGGTTTGGTACGTTTGGGGCTGGGGTTTGGTACGCTGGGGCTGGGGGTTTGTCCGCTGGGGCTGGGGTTTGGTACGCTGGGGCTGTTTTGTCCGCTGACTGTTTTTTTTCGTATAATTTGGAAGATTGGCTATATTCATTTTAACGTGTTTGTTATTTCTGGAGATTACTTATGCACTCCCTGCTAGTCCAGCCCATGAAGAGAAATGGAATGAGCTGACTGGACAATATTGACTGGATGGAGTCACATGCATCCAAAAGAAGGAATGGAATGAAATTCAGCCCAGTCCTGATTTGTTCTAAAATTTCAGAATCGGGTTACTTAAAGCAGAACTTCACCCTAAAAGGGAAGCTTTGGTTTTTGTCCTCCACCCCTCCTCTTCTAACACTTTTGGGCATTTTTTTTGGGGGGGAGGGGGTTGAGAGCGGGTACCTAGTTTTGGTAGGTACCAGCTCCCACTTCATTCAGATTGCTTAGGCAATTCCACTAGAAGTTCCCCCCCCCCCCCCCCCCCCCCAGCTCGCAACCTCTTGTGACACATCACAGGTACCATGAGGCTATGGGACCATTTATGCAGCACAGCTCACAGATGCATCATGGAAAGGTGGCTGTGAAGCTACAAGGACTCACAGCTTGCTTCCCACACAAAACATGTCGGTACCGGGAACCCAAAGAGTGGCCAAGAACTGGCCTGGGTGAGGATGGCTCTGAATCCTTGGACTGGTGAGTGTCCTTTTATTTAAAATTCAGCAGCTACAGCATTTGTAGCTGCTGACTTTTAATTTTTGCAAACCTTTAAGGTAAGCCTGTGCTTTTTTTGCTTCCTTCCCCAGCAGCAAATTCTCAGAGGACTCCCCGTGCTCCCACGTGACAGCAATGGGCCATACCTGGAAGAACTGATTGGGTTTTTTTTTTTCCTCATCTTTGCTTCTTTTTGCTGTCAAGAGCAAAGGAAACACCTTGTACTTCTGGGTTTTGAGTTCTTGCACATTCTGGCAACAGCACTGGTGCTTAGTGATTGGCCTAGTAATGGCCCATGGGAGTGGAAAGAGTCATTGACGGGCGACTCAGGCTGGAGTGACTTGGTGCTTCTAGCAGTCAAACAGAGCAGGGGTAGAGTGAGGGGAAGGTGAGTACATAGAGCCAAGGATGAAGCATTCAAGTGAGCCTGTTTACTGTTAAGTACTCATAATAACTTTCTTTTTGCAGAAAAAGAAGATAAAGAAGGAACCAAAAGAAGAGAGCGTGGATAAACCAAAGAAGAAAACAAAAGAAGAGAGGGAAGCAGCCATTGCTCTTAAAGTGAAGAAGAAAGAGGAGGAAGAGGCTGCTCGCTGGCGATGGTAAGAGTCTAAGGTTCTAATTTCTGCAGGTAAAACCAAATGGCCATTAAAGTGGTCCTATCAGGATCGAAATGGGAGCCATGGCTGCTGCCTTGGTTTTTCAAGATGCAAGCTCTGGGGCTGTTATCCTGTGACTTCATTCCTGAGTGAGTCACTGCCTTGGAACAAACATAAGGCTGGTGCAGCCAAGAACATGGCGCACTGCAGCAATTCCTGGATGAAAAGATCAAGCCATGTGCAGGTGACTATACTGCCGAGTTTTGTGTGAATATCTGACCATCACACCTAAATGACCCCCTGGCTACAATCTTCTCCACTCCTTTGGGACGGCCTTCCACAAGATTGCATCTGTGGGAATGTATGCCCATTCAGCCAAGAGACAATTTAAAGTTGGGTACTGATGTTGGGTGAGAAGAACTTGTTCATAACTGCCATTCCAATTCATCCTAAAGGTGTTCAGTAGGATTAAAGGCTCAGGGCTCTGTGTAGGCCACTTAAGTTCTTCCACACCAAATTCATCAAACCATGTCTTTATGGATTTTGTTCACCCGGACTGGGCTTGGTCGTAGAGCTATCTCCTATGAATAAGCCTAATCACAAGGTATTGATGTTGGTTGAGAAGACCTGGCTCATTCCAATTCATCCCAAAGATGTTCAGTAGGATTGAGGTCAGGGCTCTGTACATGACTCTAGTTCCTCCACACCAAATTCATCAAACCATGTCTTTATGGATTTGGTTCACCCAGACTGGGCTTGGTCGTAGAGCTATCTCCTATGAATAAGCCTAATCACAAGGTATTGATGTTGGTTGAGAAGACCTGGCTCATTCCAGTTCATCCCAAAGGTGGTTCAGTAGGGTTGAGATCAGTGCTCTGTGCAGGACACTAGTTCCTCCACACCAAACTCATCAAAGCATGTCTTTATGGATTTGGTTCACCCGGATTTGGTTTGGTTGTAGAACTAACTCTATGGATCAGTCGAATCATAAGGTGTTAATGTTGGTTGAGAAGACCTGGCACTTTTCAGTTCATCCCAAGGTGGTTCACTAGGGTTGAGATCAGGGCTCTGTGCAGGACACTCTAGTTCCTCCACACCAAACTCATCAAAGCATGTCTTTACGGATTTGGTTTGGTCGTAGAAGTGCCTTTATAGATCAGCCGAATCATAAGGTGTTAATGTTGGTTGAGAAGACCTGGCACATTCCAGGTCATCCCAAAGGTGCTTCAGTAGGGTTGAGGTCAGGGTTTTGTGCAGGACACTTGTTTTCTCCATACTAAACTCACCAAACATTGTCTTACTGGAGCTGGCTTTATGAACGGGGCCCAGTAATGCTGGAACTGAAAAAAAACCTTCCACAAAGTGATACCACAAGGTTGCAAGCTCACATTTGTCTAATGTGTTTTCTTATTGCCACGGCGTACCCTTAACTGGAAACACCTGAACTCCATAATTTGTTGGGTTGTCCATGGTTTCACATTTTAAGGTTTGTATCGGTTTATCTTGTGTTTCGTGTTTTTGGAATATACGCCTCAGTTGTACAGAAAAGGATTCTTCGTTCCTACCACTGGCTGTAGAATGTAACATCTACTCCTTACATGCGCGCTATTGTCTGCTCTGTTGTGGGAGGTGGGGAGCCCTTTGAGCTGCAACAATAAGGGGTCCCGGACAACATTGATTTTTTTTTTTTTTTTTTTTTTTTTTTTTTTGGAAACCCGCCAAGGTGAAATAACAAACCCTTAATTTCCAATGGCTCCTGGCATCAGTAAGGGTTAATAAATCGTTCTGACAAAGAGCAATTTATTCTCATGACAGAAGCTGCACAATTTGACTCATTCCTTTGAAGCATCTGTCCATTGTTTTTCTGGGATACAAAGCAAAGGTATTATCTCTCGGCTGTTTTATAGCTCGGCTGTGCGAGAGATAAAAGACTTTTCTCCAGATCCAATATCAAATCTGACAAGATGGAATCAGGTGGACATCATACAGATTGAGGAGGATGTTTCAACTTTAAATAGATTTTCTCATGGACACGAAAACTGATCATCTGCAGAGCAAGTTTGGCAGGGCGGGGGGGGGGGGTGACTAAGAAATGATAGGGATCCTATTCTGAGTTTCTATAGCGTTTTGGGGGTAGTTGAGACTTGAGAGGTAGACACGTGCAGAACGAAAAAAACTCAGTTCGATATTTAAATAATTGTTTTGCTAAATTCGTTTTCAGAATTTCATTTTATCTTCGGATTCAATTAGACCGAATTAGAATTGGCATTCGAATTCTAATTGATTCTGTTCAAATTTCGGAAGATGGTTACATTCTTTCTATTCTATTGTTTTTTTCTATTCCATCGACTTCTATTTGTTCTATTCTATCCAAATTCTAATTTATTCTATTCGAATTTCGGACGATGGTTACATTTCTATGTTGTTCTATTTTCTATTGAATTCTATTCTATTCAAATTTATTCTATTCTATTCAAATTTATTCTATTCGAAATTCGAATTTCTGAAGTTATATTCTTTCTATTTTATTCTATTCTATTGTTTTTCTATTCTGTTTGAAATTTCAATTTCAGAAGACCATTATATTCTTTCTATTTTATGCTTATTTTTTTTATTCGAATTCCATTCACATTTACTCTTTTTGAAATTCTAATTTCAGAAGGCAGGTTCAATTCTTCCTATTTTTATTTTTTTATTTTTTTCTATAGATTTTTCTATTCGATTTTCTCTTCTATTCTAGTCAAGTCTACTCTATTCTTTTTGAATTCGAGTCAAATTCGATTTCTAATTTCAACTGATTTTTGTGCAAATTTTGTTTCGATATTTCAGATTAGTTACTATTGTAATTTGGAAATTCTGAGATATCTGAATGCCTGAATAATTAAAATATTCCAAACTAAACGAACCAGACATGTGTATGGTTACAGGAGGGCAGTCGGCCATCCAGACAGCTAGAGCTGCCATCAGACAAGTGCATTTTGTTATGATTCATTTTTTGGTCGATAATTTCATTTTTGGGGATTCGGATGTATAGACATGGTAACGAATGTCAGCGAATCCGAAAAAACCCCGAAATTATTAAATGCATTCATTTTATTAATTTCATTCAGATGACATCACATGATGATAGTAGTTCGGAGAAATGAATTCAATTTTCAAATTTGTTCGATGATTCAGATAATGAATGGATCCAAATTTTGTTAACTCTGATGCACATGCCGCCAGTTGATATTCTCCAATCAGGTCACGCCATTTCCTTTAGTGGTTTGGACAAGCACCTGAAAATATCGAATGTCTGATTCGATAATATATCTAAACTATAGCAATCTTTCGGAAAAACTGCCAAGTTTTCGAATCCACCCGGACCAACATATATACGAAACGCATGCGAAGATACAAAAAGAATGCAGAAAACGAATCGGTTCAACACAACGAATATGATGAAATAAAATTCAATGAATGAACGCTTCTGAAACGAAACATAAATTTCCAGTGTGCACATGTCTGTCCTTTCAGCTCCAAATCCAATCACTGTCCTAATATTGTAGACTTCACCTCCGCAACATCTGCAAGACACGCCCATTCCTAACCTCGGAAACCACCAAGCAACTTATTCCCTCCCTGGTTATCTCTCACCTTGACTATTGTAACTCCCTTCTCATTGGCTGACCTCATCGCAGGCTATCCCCTCTTCAGTCCATGAATGCTGCTGCCAGACTCATCCACCTTACTAACTGTTCTGTATCAGCCACCCCTCTCTGCCAATCCCTCCATCCCTGTCCACTGGCCTCCATTCAGTGTCCTCAACCCCTCTCTGCCAATCCCTCCACTGGCCCCCATTCAGTGTCCTCAACCCCTCTCTGCCAATCCCTCCACTGGCCCCCATTCAGTGTCCTCAACCCCTCTCTGCCAATCCCTTCACTGGCCTCAACTCGGTGCCCTCCACCCCTCTCTGCCAATCCCTCCACTGGCCTCCATTCAGTGTCCTCCACCTCTCTCTGCCAATCCCTCCACTGGCCTCCATTCAGTGTCCTCAACCCCTCTCTGCCAATCCCTCTACTGGCCTCCATTCAGTGTCCTCCACCCCCCTCTCTGCCAATCCCTCCACTGGCTTCCCATTGCCCAATGGATAAAATTCAAAACATTAACGTATAAAGCCATTTATAACTCCACCCAAAATTACATCACCGATCTTATCTCTAAATATCACCCAAACCGTACTCTTTGCTCCTCGCAGGACCTCCGGCTCTCTAGCTCCCTTGTCGTCTCCTCCCATGCTCATCTCCAGGACTTCTCCAGAGCTTCTCCCATCCTCTAGAACTCTCTACCCCAATTTATAAAAATATTGCCTACTCTGCTCACTTTTAGGCGATCTCTGAAAACCTCTTTCTTCAGGGAAGCTTATCCTGTCCTCAGCTAATAATGGAATCTTCTACTCTTCCAACCAGTCCATCCCCCACAGTTACTACCTTTTGTACTACTAGCCCCTCCCTCCTAGATTGTAAGCTCCAAGGATCAGGGCCCTCCTATCCCTCTTGTATTGAATTGTACTGTTGCTGTATTGTCTCCCGTTATATTGTAAAGCGCTGAGCAAACTGTTGGCGCCATAAATCCTGTATAATAATAATAATCTGCTTGGCTAGGCACTTGCCTCAAGGCAGTGGAGAAGGGTGGAGGTGCAGGTAGGTAATACTGGGAGCCCATTGGTGATTGGGACATACTTCTAACTTGCTCTATTGACACCCCTTAAAATGTCAAATTGGGCTTGTCAACCCTGAGTAGGCATCTGACCAGCTCTTCGACATCTAATCCTGTCTCTGCTGCTTGGGGCTTGTGTAGAACCAAATCCTAGCATGGCTCAGATGTTGCTGTAGTAGATATGTTCTAAAAGTACCAACTAGATCGTGGGAGAGGATGTGCATACCTGTTCCACCACTTGATCTTTCTTTTTTGAGGAGCTACGTGGCAGGAGAAGCTTCAAAATTCAACAGTTGTGGGATTGTCGAATAGCTGGTCCCCTTCTATACTCTCTAGTTCCAACCACAGGCCTCTCCATCACTATGTTGTGATCTAAGGATGGATGGAGTCCGCAGCTGGGGACTCCTGTATCAGGAGGAGAAGACTGATGTGCAAATACTTCAATAAGCTGCTGTAGAACTCCACTGGAAGGGTGAAAACTTTGTTGTGTAGCAGTTCCTCAGTAGGAGCTCCTGGAAATATGCCCAGGTTATTTTCCCAGTAGTTGCCTCACAGCCAGGGGCACAGTCAGTCACTCCTTTGGCTCAATGAACATTCTTATTTTGGTGGTTTTTATTTTTGGGTAACTTGGATCTCCAGAATGGATCCAAAACTTTATTCAGCGATCACATTATTACGGAAGAATCAATGTTTCGGCACCTTGCAGGACCCCTTCATCAGACATGTGGTGTCACATTCCTGATGAAAGGGTCTTGTGAGGTTCTGAAACATTGCTTCTTCTGTAATGTGATAGCTGAATAAAGTTTTGGACCCATTCTGGAGATGGTGTGCTTGTGATGTTCCCTCGCTCTATCTACGGTTCGAGCCGGTGGTCGCAGCAGAACCCACTTACATACACAGTCATTTCTACAGGAACATGTTCATTTGGCAATAGTGTGTTGGAATTGATGAACCTCAGACACATGGAAGGAGTTTGCCCATGGGGCCTATTAGCCCCCCCATAGGCTGTGATCTCAGGGACCAGACAAATTTTTGTTCCTGGTCTCTGACTATTTATACACCTTCCCAGACACCATCTGTGCACTCACACAGGTATTGGTTAAGACCGTATAAATATTCATGCTGCCAATTTGACTTGCTCTACACCCTTGTTTTTAGAACCACCCAGAAAGTTCTGGATTGCCAGAGAAATTTTCAAACCTGCAGCCTGTGAAACAGAAAACAGACCTAAATATTCACTTGCAGCTGTAATGATTACAGTTGGAGCGCTACTCTCTTAAGGGCCGTTGAGTTTTTGGGTCCCCCCCAAGCTCTGCACTACCAGGCAACATGCATTTTCCAACATGCTCATCCAAAGTCAGTAAAACAGTCCTTGGGCTTGGTTTTGTTACTAGGGGTTAACAACTTGGATGGGGTCTAGGGGTATACGGGATGCCAAGGAGCTGTACAACTTGAGGACAACTTCTTGGTACAAAACGTACAAAAGAAAAATTGGCAACAGTCTTGGTAAGGAGCACTGAGTCCCCTTTGATGAACCTCCTCAGACCCCAGATGAAACTCTCAGCCTGGCCATCTTGAGGGTGTCTCTGGGCAAGGGCTTCCAAGATCTACATTAGTTGGGTATTGCACCTGACCGCCCTCTCCCTTCTTTGGCTCAGGGGGTTTAGAAGTACTCACGCTTTGTCCTTTTCCTGTAGCTTAGTGGATTGCAGCTGCTTTCAGGGTTAATGCTGGGCTGGCTCCTTCGTGCTGACAGGCTTTCTTTCCTAGTAGACTGCGGGACGCTGGAGATTCTTCTGTCTAGCTTCAGCCTGTAGGTAGGCTCCCTCCCAGGCTCCACACTCCAGGACTTTCCTTCACTCCATCTTCCGCCTGACGCCCCTGCTGTTCAGGCTTTTCCATATTTCAGAGCTGTCTTAGCCCACATGCCAGGCCTCCTGCCTGAGGATTGGCCAGGTTCCTTCAAATATGCAAATCCAGGCCTCCTCCACCTCTCTCAAAAAGCTCCATCAGTTTCTAAAAGGGTGGGAGGGCCCCAAAATCCCTTACCTGTAGAACCTCCCAGCTTGCCCTGAGGTAGCCTCACTCCCAAGCTGACTCATGCCAGGCTTCTAGCAAGCCTTTGACTCACAGGCAAAAAATCCTTTCTAACTAGAGCAGGGGTGGCTAACCTGTGGCTCTCCAGCTGTTGTGGAACTACATTTCCCATGAAGCATTGCAAAGATGGGAAGTTACTGACTTGCAGAGGCATGATGGAACTTGCAGTCCTGCAGCAGCTGGAGAGCCGCAGGTTGGCCACCCCTGAACTAGAGGGTGCTACACAGTAAGCCCAAAACTAAAATGACCTAATCTTAGCACCTATCTAGGAGGGCGCTATAGTTGCTTTATGATGGCCCATTTCTATGCATATCCTTGTGAGGTGGGGACTACAGTTCCTATGGGGAAAAAAATATATTTTCTCAGAATGTCTTTTTAAGTGAAGAGTGGCTGATTGTGAACAAAAACACAACGGAACGATTGTTCTTAGCTTGATTGCACTTGTTTACAAAATCCAATTACTCCAACGTTGATTAGAGATTTTTGTTGTGGCGTTGTACATTAGAAGTCCTCTGTAGCATAAATTTTGTTTTGAAGAGCAATTAAAAATTCTTCCATTTCTAATTTTTCCTGTTGGACTAATGAATGTTTGTAAAGTGATTTGACTTCATTAGGGAAGAACTATGGTCTTATCTTTTCAGTGTGGGTGACAGCCTAGGAACAAGACGTACACTACAACAGGTTTTGGATGCTTGACCATTATACCTATATGAGGCTGTTGGGCGTCCCATTCTAAACAGGCATTAAAATGGTGTTGCCCCTCCCTACCTTTTTGTGGCTGTAACAGCTTTCACTCATCTAGGAAGGCTTTCCATAAGATGTTGGAGTGTCTATGAAAATTTGTGCCCATGTAGCCAAAATATTTGAGGTCAGATATTGATGTTGGATAAGAAGTCCTGAATCACAATCTACGTGTAGGCAGGTGTGGGCTGTTTTCTCCACTGTAGGTGACACTCAATCTGAGTGGAACCACAGCCTGGGGAGGATGTCCAAGGGAAAAGGTTTCTCCATGGTTTCCTGGGTCAATGGAGCAGCATTCCAGTGTGCTACATTGAGGCCATATGACCCTTGGTGGCCATCTTGGGTCATCAGGGTCCATTTAAGTCCCTGCCCCAGGGTTTTGGCATGCACATTCCATGTGTCTAGTGTAGAAAGAAAGACCTCGCTTGCTAGGGAAAGTAACTAGCAGTAGGGAAAGGTTACTGATGAGGAGGGACAGGCTAGGGGCCCGCTTCCCTCTTAGGATTGGACCAGCCAGGCCACACTTCACCCTCTGAAACAGACGCTGTCCTCACCTCCTCCGCACAGGGGCACACTCAGGCTGAAACAGAAAAGGGTCTTCACCAAACTTTCAAAGGCATTCTCTGGATACAATGGGGATTTTTATCTATTATGGCATTTGCATAATATGTTTCAGGTTTTTTCCCCTGGAATTCAGCTTTAACCAGGGGTGAACTGACAACTCATGGGGCCCCCGGGCAATAGAGGATCATGGGGCCCCTGTGCCCTCGCCCACACTCAAACCACCCCCAAAAAAGCCTATGAAAAGTACCAGGGGCATCTCATGGGGCCCCCTACTGACCCCTGGCCCTCAGGCAGTGCCCGAGTACCCGACTGGTCAGTCCACCCCTGGCTTTAACCCTTTCGCTGCCAGATCCATTTGTCGTATGAACCTAACAGAGAGACATTTTGCACAGTGGCTGCAGCCACCAGGATTGTGTATAAAACTGACAGGCAGACTCCTACCAGTTGAGTGGAAGCAGTTGGGTAACTGCTGCCACCCAATTGCTTCCACAGCCCCCGATAACGTGCCCCCCCCCCACGCACGCGCATGCACCATTTATTCCGAGCTCTGCTTGCACATCTGCAGGCCTGGTGGCAGCAGGTAGAGGGGGAGAGGAGAGCGGATACACATCCTCTCTCCTCCCCTTCTTGCTGTGACCCGGAAAGCAACGTGTATGACATCACTTCCGGGTCACCCTGACACTTTCCCCGGCTAGAATAGCTGGGAAGAGATGTATTGCAATGCATCTAGTGGAGCCTAGAGAAGACATTGGGGGTCTTTTAGACCCTGGATGTCT